TATCATTTTTACATTCATATAAATAATTTCAAGATTTTAACTTAAAGGTGATATTTAAATAGATTAATTATTTAATAGAAAAGCTTAAGAGTCATCAAACATAAAGTGAAAATTTAAAAGACAACTTAAAATGTACACTAACAATCTTTCTGAATATTTTATTTTACCTTCTAGTTTGCTTAGAGCATTTTTCTCTAATAAGATAAAAGGAAAATAAACAGGAAAGGACTTCCATTAGTTTGCATCATGAAATGGAAACTCACATCTCTAAGATTCTGAACAATAAATTAAGTATGAAAATAACAGTTAAATTCAAAAGTTCTTATTGCAGAAATAATAGTTGTTACAGAGAATTTGAAAATGAAAAGGGAACAATATTCAAGGTATTTGCCATCAGGTAGAAATAAGGTAAGTCCTTAAACAACTATAACATAAAGTTGAATAAAGTTACTTGCCACAAGAAAGGAAGAAACAAAGTGTCAAAACAGTTAATCTCCTGTTCTTAAACTCATTAGATTATTTAAATTCAATCTTGCATGGTGGATAGGATGTAAACAAAGAAGGAAGGCAGATAAGATAGGATAAGGCAAGGGAGAAGAGAAGTAAAAGGCACAATATGGGAGTATCCACTGATTCAGTATAATTAGAGCAAAGGAAACATGTAGGGGAGTCTTGGGATCAAGAATGAAAAAGGACATTTTGGCAATATGTCAGATGGTCTTTAATTCATGGCTAATCATCTCATTGATTTAGAAAGCAATGAAATACTATTGTGGAATTCTGTGTAAGGGAACATGCACTAGAAAAAAATCAATATGGCAGTGAAATTGATTATGGAGAATATGAAAGCAAGGAGTCCACTTAAATTAGTTGTTTCTTGTCCAAGAATTTGGGCAAGATACAACTTTAAGGAGAGATGAACATGGGGATGGAATATAAAGACATAGATAACCAATTGAGTATTCATGGTAGATAAGAGATAGCTTAAGAGATGATGCCATTATTCTATGCCTGAGTTACTAGGATAGTGGTATTAAATCAAAACAAAACAAAACAAAACAAAAAATAGAGAATAAGGGCTTGGAGGAGAAAATGAGTTTAAGTATCATACATAATGAAATTGATACATATGGGCAGCCAAGGCCAGCTGCCAGTCAAAAATAAGAATCTAGAGTTAAAGAGTAAGAATGGATATTAGTAGGAAGATTAGAATACTTGAGAATCATCTGCATAAAGACATGAAAATTAAAATTGTGGAGAAAGATATAATTCCAGGAAGAGAAAATATTAAGAAAGAAAATAATGAACCCATAAAAAGACCTTGAGAAACATGTGCACATTGAAGGTAAGGAGAAGGTACTTAGGAATACAGGAAATATCTTGGGAGAGGTAGAAGAAAAATCAGACTACTATAGTGACATATTGAAATAGCTAATGTCATATATAAAATAATTGCAATAGCTTGCCTGACATAAGAAACTCCATTTTGTTAAAATCCTCCATCTTAGCTGTCTGGCTGACCTAAAATGACCCCCCAGTGTGTACATGTGATTGCTGTAATGTTCCCATGACCATAGACCCACAGTCTTGTTCCCCTGAGCTGTTCACGCTGACCATTCAGAAACTCCCTAGCCACAAGTTCCAGGTGATTGTATACCTTGTTAACTGAAATCCAAGAGATTGTTCCTTTTGTTTTTAGTTCCTTGTACCCTCACTCCCTGCTATGTAGCCCACTTGCAGATTTTGCCTTTATAAGCTTCTAGCTGATTACACTCAGGGTTGAAAGATTTCTTGGCATGAGCCTACTCTTGACTGTGTGCTATTAAAGGACTCAAAATTCAAACCCTGTGTGCTGGCGATTCCCCTTTCTCGAGGTTCGGCTATAACATTATGATCATTATAGAGAATATTTTCAAAAAGATGGCAGCCAATGATAACAAGGAAAAGAATTAATGATTATGATGACTGAGAACAGGACAACAGCGGTCATCAAAGTAAGGTCAAGCTAAATTACAAATGTGTTATAGAGCAAGTAAAAACTAAATACAAGAAACAGATTGATTTTCCAGAGTGGTATTCAAGGTACTGCATTCTACGTCTCACTGTAATTTGGAGTGGCATGTTAACTTGTTAATATGAATTTAAAATACAATGTGATTTTGATAAAACATATAGAAAAGTACCTGTCATTTTTGCTCTCCAGCATTTACTCATCTTTTTTTTGGTAATCACTTTTTGTTTTCCTGGTTTAAAAAAACCCCTTTCCTACTCTGTAGGTTGATTCAGGAGTAAAGTTGTTGGTCTGCCAAAGTTTTGCCCTGGGCTCTGTGACTGAATCAAGGATAGGCATATTTGCTAACTCAAGCCACTGATATGCAATGAGATTTCAGGGAAAGCAGCTCTCACAATTTTCCTCTGGATTTACACCAAGAACACTATCTCAAACCTTGTTATTTGTAAAAAAACAGAAAAACAAAATCAAGAAAAATCTCAAACAGTCCTAACTGAGGCAACACTTACCATATTAAGTCATAAAAATGAAGATTAAAAATAAGTCTAAACAAAATTATGATGAACAAAACTGAACAACTAAATAGAAAGATAGTACATGTTCATAGATATAAAAACTCAATGTTGTCAATATGTCATTTCTTCCCAACTTGATCTACAAACTCAACACAATCCTAGTCAAAATCCCAGCAAGTTCTTTTGTGCATATTGAAAAACTGATTCTAAAGTTGTTTTTTTTTTGAGTTGGAGTCTGACTCCATTGCCCAGGTTGAAGTGCAGTGGCATGCATGCTCACAGCCACCCCAGTGTCAACCTCCTGGGCTCAGGCGATCCTTCCACCTCAGTCTTCTAAGTAGCTGGAACTACAGGTGTGCACTACCATGTGTGGCTAAATTTGTGAATTAGACTTCATCTCTACAATAAATCAAAAAAATTAGCTGGGCGTGGTAGTGTGCACTTGTAGTTCCAGCTACTTGGAAGGCTGAGGGGGAAGGATCTCCAGAGCCCAGCAGGTCGAGTGAGACTCCAACTGAAAAAAAAAAAAAAAAAGATATAATATCAAAAGCATAACTCAAGAAAAAAATAATTAATAAGCTAGGCTTCATTAAAATGAAAAACTTCTGCTCTGTGAAGGATACTGCTAAGACGATGAGAAGACAAACCACTGAATGGGAGAAAATATTTGCTAATGCATATTTGATAAAGTACTTGTATCCAAAATATACAAAGAACTCTTAAAACACAATAAATGAAATAATAACCCATGAAGAGACAGCTCACCAAAGAAGATATACACATGGTAAATAAACATATGAAGAGACGCTCAACATCATATACAGGATTTGCAAACTATAAAAACAATGCAAGAATACTTCAAAACTACTAAGACAGCAAAAGTCCTTATGGGGTGCAATGTGTACCAGTGGGGGTAATAAGTACAAATAAAGACCAAATCCTTACCACTGTACAATACATCCATGTAACCCAAAACTACTTGTGCCCCTCAAGCTATTGAAATAAAAATTAAACAAAGAGAATATCATATCAATAGAATGCTACAGTATTAAATAAATGTTCAAAATACCTACAACACTCAATGCTGGTGAGGACGTGAAACAATAGAGGCTTTCATTCACTCCTGGTGGGAATACAAAATGGTACAGCTACTTTGGAAGACAGTTTGACAGTTTCTTACAAAGCTAAACATACTCTTACCATATGATCCAGTAATTGTGCTCCTTGGTATTTATACAAATGAATTGAAAACTTATGTACACACAAAACTTGCACATGGATGTTTATAGCTGCTTTATTCATAATTGCCAAAATGTGGAAGCAACCAAGATGTCCTTCAGTAGGTGCACGGATAGATCAACTGTGGCATAGGCAGACAATGAAATATTTTGCACTAAAAAGAAATAAGCTATCAGTCCATGACAAGACACAGGGGAAACTAAATGCATATTAATAAGTGAAAGAAGTCAATCTGAAAAGGCTACATATTGTATGACTTCCAATGCATGACAAAAAGCAAAACTATGTAAACAGTATAAAGATCAGGTGCTGCCAGGGTAAAAAGAGAGGGAAGGATGAATAGGTGGAACACAGAGAATACTTAAGGCAGTGAAACTATTCTGTATAATACTGTAATGGTGGATAAATGCCATTATATATTTGTCAATACCCATACAATGTACAAAACTAAGAGTGAATCCCAAAGTAAACCATAGACTTTGGGTGGTAATGATGTGTCTAAGGGTTCATCAATTGAAACAAATGTACTAGTCTGGTACAAGATGTCCATAGTCAGAGAGGCTATGAATGTGTGGGAGCAGAGAACATAAGGGAAATCTTTACACTTTTTGTCCTATTTTTCTGTGAACCTAAAACTGTTCTAAAAAATAAAAAGTGTATTTTAAAAAAGTTTTCTAAGGTCTACACTGGTAATACTGAAAAATTGTATTAAAAATGAGTTATAAAATAGCAAGCAAGAGTTAGTAATATTCTTCCTGATTGCCCAATAACATTGCAACTCTTTTTACCATAAATATATACAAAACAAAAATGATGAATCACTTTGGTGACACCCAGTAGAATAAGCTTGGTTGGTTTAATAATGTGATCACATTTTCATCTTCATTTTCAAATGCTCTGCATCATGACACCACTGGCAAAGATGAGAGCAAGAAACAGGAGGAGAAAAAGAAACCAGTATGATGAAAGAAAACAAATGCTACAGAAATGAGGGTTAAGATTGAAGTAAAAGAAAAAAAAAAAGGCACTTATCATGCAGAAGTCATAGGGGAGGATATGTTAACAAAACAGAAAAGAGCGAATCCTGAGGAAGTTGGCAATATTAATGAACATGCCATTAACATTTCCCCAGTTTGTAAATGGTTGCATAAACAACTTCTGATAAAAGTATATTTTTCTAAGAAATAAACTAAAAGAAGAGAAAAACCAGTCATAATTGAGAAACACTGTAAAACTTTTTGGCAAAGAAATGGTAGTTTAATGGATAACATTCAAAAAGCTTTTCAAGAATTATGTATATAATTAGATGTTCTGTAGTTGTCAGGCCCTGGGGACACCTAAAAAACAAACAAACAAAAAAACCATATTTATTCAGTGTCAGTAAATGTTCTACCTTAAAGAAGTAACATTGTTACCTGCAATAGGACAAATGGCCTGTGAAGACCAATGAAATAACAAAACAGGGTGAATGGTGAGCTATTCAGGTAAAGCAGAACATAGAAAGGCAGGAGTGTCTAAACATGAATTCACTGATTTCCTGTGTATGTACTTGGCAGTGAAAGTAGCAGAGACCTAGAAGTAAAGGGTTCCTTTCAACTGAATTTGAAAAATGTTTGGATGGTATAACTTCATTTCCTTAAGGGCTACCAGCTTTCTGGGAAAAGGTCACCAATAGACATCATCCAGTCCTATTTTCAATCCTGTCCATTGTCATTTTTCTGGTGAATTGTCACCAGTAACTATTGTTTCATTCTGAGATTCTTGGCGTTGCCATTCCTTTCATACCTTTGCTAAATTCTTGCTAATCCTTTTAATCCTTCAGATTCCCTATCATATAGTGTATGTAACTTTGGGAGTGCCTCAATATTTGCAGAAAAGAAAAAAAAAACCATTAATATACAGGAGACTTTTTCTACTCCTTTTTCTGTTATTACTCTTATTTCTTCACATACTTTCATCTATCATTTCTATGGTAATAAACAAAAAGCAACATCTCAAGAATTAGATCTTTCAATCAGGATCTAATCCAGATCTTTATTTCACAGGGCATCTTTAAACCAAAATCCTGCGGTATCTTGACAATAGATGTGTTTTAAATAAAACTTTTTATTGCCCCTTTGCCTCACTCTCCACTTTCACTTTTACTTCTGTTCCCCTGAATATTTTTGGAAATGTTTTATCTTTCCTTTTCTTAAGCTTTGTATAGTGAAGATCCAATTCATCCTCCAACCTTTTCCCTAATGCTTGCGTACAATAACCTAATTCTTATCTTGCTAGATGATTTAATATTTGGATTTATATTGTCCTGTCTTCTTATCGTTAAACGTATATATTATCCACTTTTCAACTGACCTGCAAACTCTTCAAAAATGTGATGTCTTTTTATACATTTGTAAAATTCTTATTGACTGAGGAGTTGAAAAAAAATCACTAATGATAAAATCAATTTTCTTTATACTGTCATCTGTTGTTACAGAATTATATATTTAAAGCCAATGTGTGCATTTCAATCTTCTGTTGGAGTTCCTGTGAATCCATTAGATTTACTTGCCTTGTCCTCCAAGTGCAATTCTAAAAAGCGTAGATAGGCCACAGGTGCAAATGCATCAGCTGAATGTGTGACTACTTCTGATGAATCCCTGAAATACAAAAAATTTGTAATACATCTATCTGCTACATAAATTGTGACAAATTACTCCTGTTACTGTCTGTTCTGTATTTACTTCCACTGGCAAACAACATGTAGTCATTAACATGTATTTTTAATAATCTGTTATTTAACTGGGAAAAGGATCAAGAATACAAAACTTTCAAGAAACAATAATGAAGTTTTTCATCTTTGCAGGAACACATAGTTCATCTTTCAGATTCACTCAAAGCTCTCTGAACTATTTTAAAACTTAAGCTCTTTTCACAAATTTTCTTGGTATGGACTAAGCATTAAACATTAGTGCTTTATCTTCATTATTCTTTTCATTTTCAAGAAGTAATTCATTCAGTGTTTCACATAAAATCTCAATTATTCTTCACAAAAGCAGTGCTGGTGATGGTTTTAAGCTCTAGATGAACTCTTCACACTGCAATATCATTGCTATTAAAATTGATTGTCTGACATAGTAATTACCACATTCAGGTAAAATGGTATGAACTGCTAGCTGGCACCATATGGATACATGTAAATTAACTCAACTTTTATCAAAGATGCCCTGTAAAGCACATATGAATAACTAAGAGTATGTGTGAAGTTCTAATAACTAATTATTTTTTATTGTTTATTAAAAGTGTTAATGCATTTCAACTAAAAATTTTAAAATAGAAATTCTTCATATCTTTTTAATACCTTGGGAAGTTCTTCCATTGTTTATGTTAATAAATTGTTAGCATTTTGACCACTGTAGGATAGCAAAACAGATTTACTTTGACTTTTTACCCCTAATTTAAAAACACCTGTGAATCTACTTTTCTGATGTAAACTTAGTGAAAACAAGAAACTCAAAATATTAGGCTCCAAAATATTACATTTTCATGAGCAAAATGTTTACTTTCCACTTGAAAGATCAAGAAGAATGTATGTCTGACCAGGTGTAGTGGTTCACGCCTATAATGCTACCACTTTGGGAAGCTGAAGCAGGAGGATCATTTGAGTCCAGGAGTTCAAGACCAGCATGGGCAACATAGCAAGACCCTGTCTCTAAAAATAAAAACGAAATATACTCTTAAAAAATTTTTAAAAAGTATGTTTGATGATTTAAAAAACCAAGTATCATTCATGAACCTTCAGTATCAAATACGTATCTTCTTAATGCTTAGAAACAGTAACATTAAAAAGGACTTCTTTGACATTAAAAAGGAAATAAATGTATAATACAAATAGAATCATTAAACAGTCAGCATCCTGATGGAAACATATAATCTGCCTTCACAGGCTACATCAGCCAAAAGGTACCTGCAGGTATGATGATAAGGAGGAAGAGAAAGAAAGTACAAAGGAGGCCGTCTTGCTTGCTACCACCTTCCCCTCTGGCTTGACTCCCACTTGGTCTTAGCCCTAGACTTGCTGTTTCTCTACTTCCTCTACAGACGCCTGCTCTGGTTCTACCTTGGCTCCTTAACCAGATTCAAACCTCAACTATGTTTATAATCTCATGCTTACAGTAAATTTCAATCTTTCTGTTCCTGACCTCAGCCTTGGAAACGGACCCCAATCCTTAATTACACTTTATCTAGGTGGCTTGATTTTGTTATTTTTGAAAACAGAGTGTACCCAAACTGTAATTATCATGAACCAACACTATCTCAATAGAAAGGGTTTCAGGCCCTCACTTTTCATGTTATCTCCACTAGAAACAGAAGGATGTCAGCAAATAACTTACTTAATTGACCTGAATCAAGACTGTTGTCCACAGAAAATATATAACATTCTGAGCACTAAATGAAGACAGTGATTTTTATGAATTCTATTAAAGTCATAATCTCTAATTGACTAACATCATTTCACTCACTTATACAAAGCTAGAGTCAACTGGGAGAGACTAGATTTCAAATTCATAGATTTTAGTTTCAAACAGAATAATGCCACTATTGTTCTTCTCTCTTTAATACACAATCACCTGACACAACTTTCAAGGAACTCTGGTCTCTGTTTCATGGATTTTTCTGAATCCTAAAAGTAGGATCTGTCAGAATATTCTTAGTTTAATCCAGAAAATTAAGGCCAATTGTGCCACAGCAAAAGTGCTTTCCAGTTGGTGATCCTCCTCCCCTTTTCCTATTAATATAAGCAATCAGTGTAGCCACCTCTCATACAGCAGAGGCTTTTCCTCAGTCAAGAGTGTGCTCACGTTCCCTTTCATTGCTGTACTAGGCTCACCCCTACTAACAAGATCACAAGGGCAGCTGAGCCTGGCCTGAACTTCTCTTCCCTGGTATCAACCTCTTGAGATGTGGGGTCAAGCCCTACCTCTCACCTCAGAAGCAAAAAAACCCCTAGTATTATCACTTGAGACTCAATAACGGTCTTTATCTTCACCTTTCCTCTAAAAGGACAACCATGCTAGGTTGGGGCTGAGGCACTGTTTACCTCTCTTGCTTAAACATATGGTTTCTGTATTCACTAAAATGTACACAGATATTCTCCATGGACTCACATTTTTCCTCACACACATCTCAAATGTTATTTCAGTGAAGCCTTCCCTGACATCCCAGACAATGCCAGTCTTCTGTGTTTTCGTACTGTGCTTATAGCCCTTTCATAACACATCCAGTATATCATAAGTATGGGCTTGTGTACCTGTCTACCTTCTGAGAGACCGACCAGTTTTATTCACCTTTTCCACTACAGCCCAAAGTACATTGCTTGGCATTCAGTAAATATTTGTTGAATAAATACCTGGATAGTTAAACTTTGTTAAGTATCTTCAAACACTATCAGAAATCCACAGTGATTTTTTAATACCTACCTTCACATGAATATAGTCATGTGCCACATAATGAGATTTTGGTCAACAACAGACTGCATATACAATGGTGGTCTCATAAGATTATAATGGAGCTGAAAATTCCTATCACCCAGTGGCTTCACAGTAATCTTAATGTTGTAACACAATTTTATTTTTAAAATAATGTAGCATAAGTGTACAGTGCTTATAAAATCTACAGTAGTATAATGTCCTAGGTCTTTATGTTCACTCACCACTTACTGACTCACCCAGAGCAATTCCAGTCTTGTTAGCTCCATTCAGAGTAATTGCCCTATACAGGTATATTTTTAAAAATCTCTTATATTGTATTTTTTTTCTGTACCTTTTCTATGATATACAGATATCATTGTGTTCCAATTGCCTGAAGTATTCAGTGCAGTAACATGCTATACAGGAGCATATGATACAAACATGCATACTGAATATATAAACATATTCATGTGTGCAAACATATATATCAATAACACTATATGACATCTCTGACAATAAGAAAGGTTAGTAGATCTGAAAATTTAAATACAATTTTAACTGCCATTTAAATACCATGATGTAACATACTAATTGAAATGAAAAATGAATTGTAAAATGCACTAGATAGAAATTTATATAATGTATAGCCCAGGTGTATAGTAGGTTACACTATCTAGGTTTGCGTGAGAACACTATACAATGTTTGCACGAAGTCAAAATCGCCTAATGACACATTTCTCAGAATGTATCACTACTGTTAAGTGATGCATGACCGTACATCCTTTCTCATTCGTGCATACTGCATATTTAAACATATTCATGTATGCTCACACATATACCAATAACATCACATGACATCTCTAGTATAATAAAAATAAAGGTTAGTAGGTCTGAAAATGTAAATACAAGGAAAATAGTTCATCAATTTTAATAAATTCTCAGGTGATACAGAATCAATGTATCAAATAAAAGAAGGCAAATAAAATATCTGTTTTTATCCTCACTTTGAAACTGCCACTTACGGCGCTCTGTACTGAGTCATGCCTTGAGAGGACAGAATACGAGTAGATGGGGAAAGATGAATGTAAAGTGTTTCAGTCATAGGATTCAGCCTTTCCTTTCTTCTTTCCTTCATTCCTTTTTTTTTTTGGAGTCAGGGTTTCACTCTGTCACCCAGGCTAGAGCTCAGTTGCAAGATCACAGCAGCCTGGACCTCCTGGGCTCAGGTAATTCTTCCACCTCAGTCTCCTCAATAGCTGGGCATGCCACCATGCCTGGCTAATTATGTGTGTGTGTGTAGAGGAGGTCTCACTATGATGCCCAGATTAGTCTTGAACTCCAGGACTCAAACAATCCTCCCACCTTGGACTCCTAAAGTGCCAGGATTACAGGTATGAGTCACTGTGCGTGACTCCTTCTTTCATTCTTCTCCCTCCCTCCCATCCATCCATCCAACCATGCCATATGTAGCAACTCTGTAATAGGAGTATAGTAATATTGACAATTAAAATAGAAATATATGATTGTCTAAAATACTGACATTAAAAAATGTGTGCATTAACAGAAAGAAGAAAATGATTGCTTTTATTAACACTTTAGTATTTTGGTTCTTACTTATGATGTATGTATGTAGTAAGTAATAAAAAAGTAGGTTTTTTATTTGAGAACCTACAATTATTTTCACTTAAAAGCAAGGCTATAATTCTTTGCATGAGGGCTTCTCAGAAGAAAACTCATTTTCTGATCTTAAAATTCATATCTAGAAGTGAAAGACTTAACATACTAATTGAAATGAAAAGTAAATTGTAAAATGTTGTATATAGAAATATAAAAAATTACTTCCAAAGACTGTTATACCAGTTTTTCCTAAAAATATTTTAAAATATTAATTGAAATTTAAGCAAAATGTATCTCATAATACACTTCTAGAACCATTCTGATGTCTCTAAATTACTTCATTATAGAATAAATTCAATTGTGTTTTTAAAAATCTCTATGATAACATAAAATAATTTTGCATGTAAAGTCTCTAATTATGATAATATAAAATAATTTTGCATGTAAAAGTTTTTTTCTGTCCTTAGAGGTGGTCTTCTTTTTTATCAAAACCAAATGTCATCTGAATCAGACACTGGATATGGGATTCCTAATAAATGATTAGTTGCCTGTTAATTGTGGCAGACAACTATTATGCCAGATATAACAGCAGTTGCTAAATTCATCCCCTAAATTATTTCTAAATTATTGGATCCAACATTATTAATAGTCAATTGTTGGCCAGGTGTGATAGATAGCATGTGCCTTTAATCCTAGTACTTTGGGAGGCTGAGGTGAGAGGATTGTTTGAGCCCAAGAGTTCAAGGCCAGTCGGGGCAACATAGCAAGACCTCATCTCTACAAAAAAAGAAAAGAAAAAAATTAGCCAGGTATGGTGGCACATACCTGTAGTCCCAGGTACTCAGAAGGCTGAGGTGGGAGGACCACCTGAGCCCAGGAGGTTGAAGCTGTGGGGAGCCATGATCATGCCACTGCACTCTAGCTTGGGTGACGGCATGAGACCCCAACTTTAAAAAAAAATTATTAAAAAATAGTTATAGAGACAAAACTTATCTTTTAATTGTGCCATACAGAAGTTTTTCTTTAAATAAAATAACTTTCATTTACATACAGTTTTACAATGTACAATGCATGCTCACATCTTCACATACAGTGCATATTAGATAGTGATGATAAAGACATTTCTATTTTAAGGAGACAATGTTTTGTATATATTAAGTGACATCCTGTATCTAGGATATTTTCCAACCTACAATCTCAAGTTATAACCTAAAAAAGGTATACATAAAAGTGAAACGGTATATAAGCAAAACTAAACAATAAATAACAAATTAATCCAATAACACAATACACATTTATTAGAGCCTACTGTATGTTCTGAGAGTTCAAGTATGGGAATGAGAACTGGAGGCGATGGCAGTCCAAGACTTTAAAAATGGAAGGATTAAAAAAAAAAAAGGAAGAATTTTGCAAAGTGGGGAGAAATGAGAAGGCAATCTAGAGAAAAGGCATCACATAAGAAAGTTATGAAGCTGAAGTGAAGCATAGACTATGAAGAAAAAAAAGCAAATATGCTTAAGCATTAGGATTAGATTGGTGATTAACTCATAAATGAGTAAGAATGAAAAGACAGTGCTTCCTTTGTGTTCGCAAGGTATACACTCTCATGGTAGCACTTATCACACATTATTTATTTGCCTGTCCACTTCTCCTGTTACAGGGAGAACTACAGAGCGGGGCAGAAACTTGCAGTGTTCTTCCCACATAATATTGCGTCAAACAGCTCATTTTGGCACTAGAAGGTTGTAATACATCTCCCCGACTTCTTCTCTTTATCAGCATAACTAATTCCCCTCAAGCCATTGTCTCTATCTGGCTTGGGTTTCCTTGTCTACAAAATGAGGAGGTTGAAAAAAATTCATTTTCCAGGTCTGAAGTATTCCTGATCTAAACCATGATAAACAGACCTTCTGGATATACAGGGAAAGCAGTATATGTCTTAAAATTCTAGGTTGTCTATAAAGACTTTTGGGTGCTCTGGGAACTCAATTTGTCAGGCCCAAATGGCAAAGTATTATTCTTTGGCATGTTTTTATTTTGCTTTTTAAAAAATTTGGTTAGTCTCATATTAATAAGTAAATATGTCCCAAGTTTTCCACTATACTATAATTTCACCCTAGCATGCAAATGTTTTGGTGAGTAATCAAACAGTATTAGTTCACAGAAGTAATATCTCATGCATGCTTGGTTTATGATTGTTTTGTGGTCATGGTCAGAAGAAACATCTCCTCCTTTTACCACGTTGAATCATAATTATACACAGATGTGTCTTCCTCCTACCCCTTTGAAGGCAGAAACTATCTCCAAACATCAATGATGCCCAGTAGAGTGCTTTGGACATAACAAGTACTTGATAAATATTTGTCAAATAAATTATTATTATGCTGATTATTAATGGAAAATAAGTTAGAAGAATATGAAAGCAAGAGTATGTATATATTGAATATGGTAATGGAAATGTCTTGCCATATTTCACTAAATAAATGTGTTTTTTAGAAAATTCACCTGGAGTTGTCTTAATTTTTTTAGATCTCTCCTTTGCTCATGATAACTTACGTACAGAGAAATCAAGTCTTAGTGTTGAAAACATTAAGCTGTCCATTCAATCAGGTATAATTCTGACAATCTTTTCCAAGAAGCATAAAAGCTTAAGAAAAGCAGATAAAATGCTCTCTTAGCATATGAGAAGAGCAACATAAATTAGATCACAGATAATAATGTAACAAACTGAAGAAAGTTCCTGTTTTTCACTACAATAATTTAAAAAATTTATGGCAAAGAAATCACATCACTCACCATGAACTGAATTCACTTAAAAACAAAGTTTATATGTAAAAATAACCCCACATAACTGAAGAGAAATGTTTAGTATTACCATTTTAAGTTGTTAAAGCCAAGAAAAAGAAAAAGAAAAAGACGATGGAGTTAATGGAACCCACAGGCTACTGATGTGGTAATTTATCAAATGTAGCTGTAATGAAAGATAAATAATACAGGCAATTCACACTTCATGAAAGGATAAAAGTGTCAGTGTGTAGGTACCAGTTTTACTGCAGGCCATAATCAGCAAGTAAACGAAAGTGCAATGTCTAAAAAGTTTATAGCCTTCTATGAAGGCCTCTTCTTGTCAGGTATTGATTTAGGTATTCAGACGACTTCACTGGTATTAAACAAATTGAGTGTTTGTGAACTTAGAGGACATGTTCTATTTCTCCCAACAAAAGTTGCCTCAAGCTTATGTTAAGTCGCTTCCATCACTTAAATTTAAGGAAAGGAATGAAAATGCTGAAATGACATCTTACACAATTATTTTCTTCTTAAATAGAGGGCAATCCAAAGTGAATGTTTCATACTCTCCACCTTCTCCACAAACATGTACTCCATATTTCTTAGAAAGCTGAAAATAGAAAAACACAAAAAATGAAAAAGAAGCTTAAAACTAGAAGAGCAAAAATGCTCACTTATTTTGTTCTAAAAAAAAATCCATGTAGGAAACTTTAATTCCAAAATAGTTTTCAAGGTAAAGAATAATAATTAGCTGCTTCAAGTATGTATTCAAAGTGATTTCAAAAATGCTGTCATAAGGCACAGAATTTCTAATAATACCAAAGCCCTTGCAAAAAAAGATGTAAAAGACCAACATTTTTGTTTATAATGACAAAACTTAAAGATTATTGTAAATTTTGGGACTGGCACTAGCTTTAGATTCAAAGGAAAGTGAAGTCATTATGTAGTAAATGAGAATACATGCAGCCAAACTGGGCTCCCCTCACCTTTTGACCTTTAATGTGGAAAGGAAAATAAAAATACATTGTGTTTACAGAATTTCTCAGGACACAGAGAGAGCAATATAAAGCCTTTCCTTAGGCCTGTGAACAAAAAGAAGTCACACACATGGTTATTATGCTTGAGGTTATTATCATTAGGAAAGTTCCAAGGATACTGAGAACTAGTAAAGTTTCAAAGCTGCAGACAAGCCTCAAGGTTTAACTCCAAGAAAGGTTGGGATAGCTTATAAAATTGTCCATTCAAACCTGAAATTTAAAAAAACCCAACAAATGACCCAAAACCAAAAAAAAAAACCGATGACTTGTATTAAGTATAATAATAAGCCATACTATTTAAATGATCCTTACTGAGAGTAAAAAAAAATCTCCTATTTGGCTGGTCCCATGGATGGCATCAGTGCTGGGGTACACTCTCACTGGCTGTAGCACAAACACGAATCTTTCAGTTTATGTGTACAGGCTCTATCACTGTGATTCTGATAGAGTAGGCAGGTTAGACTAGGCAAACTTCAGGAGTGTAGGAAAGTCCCAAGCTCACTGTTGTCTGTATAGCTGTTACAAAACCATACATGCAAGCAAGTGGCCTAGCTCTAGGAAATTTCACACCTACCTGCTAGACTCTTATCAGATACATTTGCAGTATTGTTGTCTGTCTATCCAGGATGCTTGCAGCCAAGCGTGGACCACCAAAGCAGGAACTAGCCTAGAGACCCCTAGAACATGTGCATCAATAGCCAAGTTGACCTAAGGTAACCATGACCTACTTTTATCTTCATTATATGCTCATAATAATATCATTAGCACTGTGGTTTTACAAACTCTTCATCCAGCAGGGTGCCATAACAGGCCTGAAACTCCCCTATCTGGCATAACAGAGACTCAGCTATAAGATCATCCATTTCTAGGCAAAGCCGATCCCAAGCGCACCCCTCAATGCTCATAAGGATAAAAGTTACAGCTCAACAATAGTTGGGGGCAGAAGCAGAGCTTTCCATAGGCTGTCTATTTGCTCTCCTTTCTTGAGAGTGTATCTTCTTTGCCTAATGAAGCTATTTGCATATCCTGCTTCTCTGTTTGTTTGCAATTTCATTCCAAACTCGAACCTAAGACCCTGCCATGACTATTTCACATCGGAAGCATCACCCCTCCTCCTGGTAACAATTTCATGTTCTTCATTCTGGATGTCACATCTTTCCCTGTTTATAGCCTCTCATAGCCCAAAGTCCTCATAGCCCAAAGAAAAGTGATTCCTTTGATGTTCTGTCACTGCCAGTGCTGGACTGTGGCCCAATCTTCAGTTTCACCTTCATAGTTACACATTTATTTTTTTGGTGATTTTTGTGGTTGTGCACCTTCTGAATCCATTAAATTTCAAATATTGACTATGTGCTCCTAGGGATTTAAAACATGGGTTGATGAGAATTCTACTGCTTCCTCCAAGATCAGTAACAATGCACCAGTAAAAGATCAGAGAATGACACTGTAAAGCCAAACAGCAAGAAAAGTAAGGAAATGAAAACTGGGTGGTGTTTTTTATTAAGAGCTCACAAGAGCAAAGGAAATACATTTCCATCACATTTGGTCATGAAGTTGAGATGATTCTGGTGCAAGGCCAAATTATGACTACTTTACTATATTAAACCAAATTACTGCTTTGCAATAAAAACACAAGAATAGTAACAGAATACACATTTGATAGGTGTTTTTCTGTCCTACCAGGTAGTATCTGTTCCTTTCTACTCTTTGCTGATCATCCATTCCAACAACATTCCACCAAGTGAAACTTCTAATCACACCTTTATGACTTACCAATTATTAACATCCTTTTATTAAAAAATGTTTTTACTGGGGTTCTGCATAATTTCTGTAATCCACCACCAAAGAATAACTAGATTTTAAAATTAAATTCAGCATGGCTGTTATCCTACAGAAGTGGTTCTATGAGCCCATAGTAAAAATAATGTAAGCTGCTCTGGTAAACCAATATAATGCCATTATAAAAGACTGATTTATTCCAGAGGGAACTTACTAAAATCTGGATGTACCCAGTGATATTTTTAGTTTACATGAAATATTTCTATAACATTCATTCATTAAATTCATTCTTCAATACACAGTTTATTAACCCATGATTAATAACCAGGGCTTGCTAGATGATAAACATCCAAAAGTAAATATGACAATATACTTGGTCTCTTGAAGTTTACCAAAGAGACTGTACTCTATATTTTAACACCACAAAATAATGGTGATGTTGCTTCTATAAATAAATACGTACAATCTCTTCTCCCTTTCTATTACTGATTCACTAGTACGGACACAGATTCCACGTGAAGAAGTCTGGGAAAAGAGCCCAGTGATTTTGATGGCCAAGGAACCAAGAAGCAGTTTGACTGAATCCTTATATCTTTTGTGGCTCCTCTAGCTCTACTAGCTTCAAGCTCCAACAGGCATAAATATTCAGGGAAAAATTCATCTTTATTGGCTTGCTTTTAGCCAGCTCCAAGACCTTTTGATGTCTTGAAAGAACCTCTTCAAGGAGCAAAGTCTATACTAGACAATTTCTTTAATGAATCTGCTAAGACATAGCACTTACTAGAAATCAAAATCCTTGTATTATCACAAAAGCATGGTGCAAGCATGTGATAGAAAGGATCAGTTTAGGTAAGTGAAGAATCCAGATGTGCACATTTGACCTTCAATTTACCTCTCTAAAAGTAAATTGTAGGTCAGTGTTACCAATATCTACACTGTTCAAAACTGAGATTATTGTATATTAGCACTTAATCACTCCAACTGCAATTTTTGCAGTTCTCTTTGATAAGTTCCTCTATCAGCATCATTGTAATACAAATACTGAATAGTTAATAGATGCTTTGAAAGTTAAATTTCTCACTGGATTTTTCAAGACTATTTTCAGAATTTAAGTACATAAAAAGAACAATTTATATTGAATCATAAATATTTTTCATGTAGTCTATTCTTTCACTAAATTATTGGTATATAGATGTATTTAAAGTCATGGTATTGGATGAGATCATGAAGAGAAGTGCAGAGGGAACTTTAGGGCCAAGGATAGGAGCACTAGCATATTCTTCATTCTTTAATGATTAAAGTATATTTAAAATGTTAGTTAGTATGCTAAAAGGGGAAGTAGACAGTTATTCTTAACCATAGCAACAAAAATCTATCAGATGGGCTATATTTTTTTGTTTCACATACAGATGTCAGAATTCAAAGAAGTCTAGATTAACTAAATTACAGATCAGATGAGCCTCTATGAAGTGAGTGAAATTCTATGGTCAATTACCTAATGAAGTGACGAGAGAGGAGAATCACACCTTCATAGATGAGAAACTTCTGTTAGTGTGTGTAGAAAACAGCAATTCTCTTACGGCCATCTGTGGACTTGGACTTCTGTGATAGATCAGAGTCTTAAGGTGATCCAAAGAGTATATGGCCTGCCAATTCTTTTCCATAAAGTTTTTACCAAGTGCATGCAGTGATTACATGCAGAAGGCTGGGGCCAAGGTAGAAGAGAGGAAAGAGATCCTTTTGGAAACAGCTGCCCGCCAAACCTTTTCTGCTCAGCTTTCACTACATGAAAGACTGGGGAACTAAGAGATTTCTTCCAAAGCTTGGAGGGATGTGGGGAGAGGCTGAGAAAGGTAAACCCTTGACAAGGTACAAAAAGCCACTGGCAGGACTACCTATAGAGTGTGGGGGTCTTTGCTGATCACCCATTCCAACAACATTCAAATGCTCTAAACACAGTGATTGGAACATAGAAAGTACTTAATACATGTTATTTTTTATTCATTAGATTAGTTTGTTCTTCCCGTGGGCCATCTGTTTTTTCACCTATATACTCCATTTATTGAGGATCATTTTATATCTATTACAGTATCTACACACAAAGATATCTGTATATAAATTTAGACATCTATATAGGTATCTACACATAGATATCTATACCTATAAATAGGTATAGATATCTATACATGGATATAGATATCTTTTATGCAAATGGCTCTCAAAAAACAAAACAAAACACAAAACCCTACCCACCACCCACTTTTTTATTAGTCTCTTTCCAAAATGCTTATTGAGTGTTTTATTTAGAAGCACTGTTTTAAATTCAACATGAATAAAATGAAGTTCCTGATTTTTTCCTCAAAACCCTCACTGCCTGCACAATTCCCTATTTCTGCATTAACTTAACCAAACTTGAAATATTACAGTAAAATTTAACTCTCCTTTCTTTCTGCCACATAGCCTACATTTTTAAAAAATTTCATTAATTGATAACAAACATTCACTCAGTACTTATTAAATGCCAGATCCTATTCTATACACTAGGTATAGGGCAGAAAACAAGACAAAGTACACAATATTTTCCATTCTGATGCACTGCCTGCTCATTTTACACTTGAAATATCATAATAATCTCTTGTCTTCCTTCTTTGTTTTCACCTTTCTCATCTGCTCTACACATTATCACCACACTAACTTTCCTAAATACTGTATGATAATGGCACTAATTTGCTCAAAAACTTTTGGTGGCTGACCACTGTCTATACAATAAAAATCAAGCTCCTTAAACTGAAAA